CTCATTTAACAGAAAATCCTTCCAAAGCTTGACTTGACAACAGTAATAGAAATCTATCATAAAATCACTATTCAATAAGTAAAGATGAAAACAAAACTGCAAAGAAAAGAACTGGGAAACACACAATATTACTGAAAGCTTTTTTGCTTTATTCTTACTTCATAATGGTATACTTCAAAAGTGAGGGAGGGATGACATTCAAAGGGGGGTATGTGACCCTGGAGAGAAATTAGGAATTTCTTTAATCATATATGGAGGGGAAATGAGGGGTTTAATTGGTTGGATAATGCAGTAATGAAGAAAAGCCTTTGACCTAATTGTGTGTTTCCACTCCTCCTTTCATTATTTTCTTAACAATCTATTCAGCAATGATCTGCTACATATGAAAAAAGTATCCCATGATTTAAATAGTCAATATGAATGAAAACCTACATCAAATACAGAGATGTTCACTAGAAAGGGCAACAACTTCAGAATGAGGTCCTCCATCACAGCTGATTTCAAAACCCTCAAGTAAAAAATTCTATAATGAGGGGTTTTGTTCAGTATACTAACAAAGAATTACTGAAACAAAATTGAAGTATTTTCTATGCTCCGTTCATGTGTACAAGTATATTTACCTGACTGGAACAATCAGATATTCTGGTCATGGACTACTGCATCTAATCTTCTAAATCAGTATAAGATTACAAAAAAAAATTATGAAAAAACTAGTCACATGGAGCTTTCTACACAGAGACCCAGTAAGACCTGCGATCTGACAAAATGGTATAGCATTACAAAATAATAATTTCCTATATCTGCATCAATTACTGAAAAAAATCTATACATTTACATATATTCACTCTTTATTTTGATATACATCTACATACACATCTTATGCATATCATAATATGTATATTTTCATGATAACTTGACATACTTCTAGGTATTTAGATGTCTCCTTCATTCAGGTAATTATTGGACTTTCTTGCTTAGGTAAACACATAAAATAACTGCTTTTATATAAGCAATTATTAAATTCTTATGGTAACCATAATCTGTTCTTCCAAGGGTAATGAGCTGATGTGTGTGTGTATATATATATATATATATATATATATATATATATATATATATATATATATATATATATATATATATATATATATATATATATATATATATAAATGCTGAAATTGCTACCTGTAATATCAGCTTTCAAAATACTATTCATGTCCCCTGTAATTATGATACATGCATGAAATTTTTCTTGCAAAAAGCTGAAGCAAAATTTGTTCTAAATGCATAAAACTTCTATATTGACTATTGAATGTTTAAATACTAAGGATGATATTGTGTCTTTCAACCAAAGCCATTCTTGAGAGAGATACAAAGCATTATGAATTTTACATAAACAATACTATCACTGTGCTTTTACGTAATATATTTCTTATCTTTGTAAAAACTCTGTGCAATCACAAACAATCTTATTTACTTTCTACTTTCTGTCACCCATCTTATAATATCTTTTATCTTTTACTAAGGCATCATTAACATTCATGAATAATATAAATAAATAAGAGCACAAACCAAATAATAACCAGTAATTAAAACATATACAAACTATAATCAGAATTTGAATATATCTCTCTCTCTCTAACAAAGCAACTATCTCAACATATTTACACATATAAATAGTATTCAACATGCTATTCAAATCTTACAACTAACCTCTTATGAAAGATGCAGACTCATCCCATGACCGACTTGAATTCTCGGTCCGATCATCCTCAAAGTCATCGTCATCCTGCAAAATATACCTTCCTTTCAGGGACAGGGAAACTACTATTCTATTTTTTTTTTTTCTTCACAAACTCATGAACACATAAATAATACAAAGAAGCTAAGAGAGGTATATAAAAATCAACACTGTACAATACCCTGGCCTCAAAATCACAAAGACTGGAGATCACACAAAATTTAACATGGATATTTCTAACCTCCACAGGTGATTATATTTTTCATCTCATTCCATGAGTTATCTACCTAATTAAAAAGAACACAAACATCACACATAAGTTAAAGTTATGGGATAATATCTATTACATTACTTTAAGGTCTGACATCCATAAGGCAAAGTTAAGAATTCAGATATTCATGAGTAAGACTGAGGTCTAATATCTATGGGATTCTTTTGTCTTTGAGGCAAAAGTCATGAAGTATGATATAAATAAGACCAATCTTTGATTTAATATTTGTGAAGTATGACACCAATAAGGACAAGTACCATACTGTGAAGATTGATGCTTAAAAGGTCAGCTATTATGAGATTTGATATCTATGAGACTGGACCATGTCTAATATATATCAATCTGGTTACAAAGTCTTATTATATCTGATATCTAGAATATATCTATGAAGTATGATGCTAATAATGCATGATATCTATGAGGTCAATTCTTACTCTGTTGTCCTCTTCTTCCTGCAGCACCTCAGGGACATAGAAATCATCCTGACGTGCCAGTGGGCCCACAAACAGTATCTCTGACTTCTCGTTGTCATAGACTTCAAGGAATGGACGAGCACACAAACTTCTGTGTTCTGTTTGAAGAAAGGGGAGAAAAAATATCTTATCATCAGTACCAGCAAATTCAACAAATGTTTTTAGATAATGTATTTCTGCAAACTGTGCAAAATTATATATCCAAACAATCTGTCAATATTTCAAGACAAAGTGAGAGTACTTACCAATGTACTCACGAAGAGATGGATAAACTTTCATTATAGCCACAATAATAGAAATTGTACTTTTGAATGGAAATCTAGTTTGGACTGCATGGTCAATTGATGGGAATGTTGCAAATCTGTAATTATTTTCTTCCAGGAGTTTCAGATGTTCTGCATTAGTTGGACTACCATTTTCTGACAATATGATACCCACAATGTAGCGCAACTTGTGGGGCTGTTTCTGTTCAAAAACGGGAGAGAATAAATCAAACACTTTATGCACATGTCTACCTAAACCACAAACCTATTTCAAACAGCTCAGGTAAATCTTCAAACTAATTAGATTCTCAAAAAAAGAAAAGAATGAAAAAAAAAAAAAAAGAAGTGGAAACTTACTGTGTTTGGGTCATCATAATAAACACCAATAGTACGATATTGTGGTAATAGTGTATGGACTTCAGTAAAGAGCATCCCAGAATCCTTGTATGGGCCTTGAGCGAACTTGTAAGCAATATGGATTTCACCAATGTCAGGTCTGAAAAGAAAAAATATCACCACAATCAATAAAACAATAAAATGCCTATCATCTTACACAGTATACGGCATCAATCAGAAGCAAAGTAAATGGGGATTAGCAATAGATTTGTAATCAGAGAAAGATAGTTATATAAGCCCTAAGCCTGTTTATGAGCCAAGGCATGAGTATAACCCAATGCTGCTGGGAAAGGGCTGAGCTTATCTTTTATTTATTATTTTTTTGTGAAATGTCTCTGCACATAGATGGCTCTGCAAGTGCTTAGCTACAGTGGAGTCAATTAGTAGACCTTGTGACTCTACCTGATTTCACCTTTCCTTGAATTTGTGGGAAAACATTTTTTTCTTTTTACTAATGAATATCGGTGTTATCATTTTTATTATAACCATTATAATTACTTTAATGTTATAGACATTAATAACAATAATATAAGATAATGTAAAATATTTTCAAAAATCAAGGAAAAGGGTAAACGGCAAGACAGGCAACTGGCTCAATGGTGACTTAGTACAAGTGTAGTCATCTATATGTAAAAACAATTAATAAAGTAAACTCCCAGTGGGCATGGCATGTACGTACATGCCATGACTAGCGGCATTAGGTTAAGTTATCATACTGAGATGGGTGCCCTCAAAGGAAAAACTGTGAGTGGATAGATGAACAGGAATTTTTAAGCACACTGTCCAGACCATTTCTTCCCATTCTGAAGCCCAAATCATTCAAAAGGTATAATATTACTAGAACAGGGATATATATTACTTTGAAGGAAAAGAAAAGAAATGAAATCAGTCTTCTGATACACTGTAATCAAAGTTAGTTAACTAACAGCTAAAAACTGCTTCAAGAATTGTTTCTTACTCTCTAAAGAGAACAAGAAATATAACACAATGTACTATGAAAGTGATTATAAGAAGACTGAACAGCTAGTTAAATCAAATATCAGATGAGGCACCAATATGTAGTGAAGGAGTGATGGCCAAATTACAGTCTATCAGTCATTAAGTTCAATGCAGCTGACAAGAGACTGGTGGTCCCCTGAGACAGCCCTGCCACGAGCCACAGGAGTGATCTTGCCAGAACGTGTAACCAAGTAACCAGGAAACTTGCACATGCATAAACAAAAATGCATTGCAAATGGCAATTTATGTACCCTTACAGTCACTCAAAATAAAGTGAATCCTCCCAATCCAAAAACACGAAACTCTCTTCAGATCACCAAAAAACTAAATACAAAATACACTTACTTGCACGTCTTGACCTCCACAGGGATGAGGAGACCCGAGTGGACGAGCAAGGCTGTGACCGTCGCCACGACAAGGAGCAGGAGGACTATGAAGCCCCAGAGCAGAGCCGTCTCGGTTTCCATAGTGCCCCTCGACCGATCCCTCAAATCCTGTTCTTTATATGGATAACAGCAATCGGATTGGATTTACAAGCACTAAAAAAAGAGACGAAATCCGAGTGGAAATTAAAAGGCCGTCTCACTGGTAAGTTGCTCCTCCTCGTCCCTTTCCGACGATAACAGGAACCACCAGCGCTCGGAAGTCACACGAGAAGGCAAACTAAGGCAACACCAACGAGAACAGAGTGGGGGAAAAGGAAATCTTCTTCTTCTTTCTTCTTTTATAGGGTTTTAGACTAAGGAAAAGGAGATGAAAAGGCCGACTCGCCGCCGCCGCCGCGTTTGTTGTGGGGAATCAGCTGATGCGTCACGGCCCCCTCCCCCTTCCCCTCCCTCCCCCCCGCCCTCCGTTAA